ACCGCCGCGCCCGGGCTGGGGCTGGGGCTGGGGCTGTGCCGGGAGCGACATAGCGCGGGTCTCTGGAAGGAGCGGGCGCTTGGGAGCTGCGCAGAGGGCACCTGGGGGAGATGGGGCGCCCCCAGGCACCTGCCTCTGAGACCCCTTGGACAGCGGGTCCCCGAGAGCCCCCTGCCCCGCGGTGGACTTGGTTGCCTGCCTTGATCCTTGCGACACCCCGTCTTGCAGAGGGGAACTGGGTGCCCGAGCGGCAGGCACCTTCTCCCGGTCGCAGGGGAAGTGTGCCGGCCAGGGGGGAATTGAGCCTCGGTCTCCTGATCGGGGCGGGCTCGAACTTCCTCTTTGAGGGCCCGACCCTGTCCACCTTGCAGTCCCTGGGACTCTTGCCTTTTCTGGGCTGTGCAGGCTCCCTTGGCTGGGTTAGTTGGTGGTGGCGGGGCCAGCCAGCCATTTCACCTGCGCGGGAGGAGAAAGCTGGACCCTTTGCAATCCGGCCTTCCTAGGCTTTGCTGCCTCCGCCCTGGGACTTACCCCCAGGCATGGAGAGGGCTAATGCAGTGGGGTCCGAGTGAGGCACGCAGGCTTCCCCCAGAGTGTTTGCTCACAGCTAGACTTGCAACGGTGAGCGTGGTGCGAGGGCATGAGAGAGCCGCGTGCTCCTCCGGACCGTACTCTGCACTCTCAGACTCCTGCCTTGCTGCTTCCCTGGTCCTGGATTTGCCAAGAGCCCTGTATTCACCATCCCCTCCTCTCTGTCCTGTCCTTCAGTAACTCACACCCTCACTTTTGCAGGGCAGGACAGGCAGGCCCCGTCCCCTAGCAGAAACATCTCTTTGAGGGGTGAACTATGCTCAGGATCTGGGGGCAGCAGCCAGCTGTGTGGATCTGAGACAGGAAGAAGTGGACACAGTGATGTCGTTGCATGGGCCGGGCAGGCGTTGTGGGTGGATTTGGCATTGCCCCCTCTGCTTTTTGGAAGGGCAGTTGTTTCTTTTTTGCTCGCCGCTTGCCCTGGGGCTGGGCTGAGCTGGGTGGGTCCCTGCCAGGCTCCTCGGGGGCTGCAGGGAGGCGGTGAGGGGAGCAGACCTGTGCTCGAGCACTCAGAAGTAAGGGCCCTGCCCCCTTCAACTGAACAGTGTCAGCTTCTCCAGCCGGTCACAAGATTCCCTCCTCCAAACCACTTGAGAACTGCTACGGCGCACATCCTGTTTTGCATATTGATGACTTCCTCCCACAAAGCAGGTTTTGCAATTGAGATCTGAAATGTGCTCAGCAGAAGCAGGGGCTGAGTTGGTGTGACTTTGTGTGCAAACGCTTCTGCCTGCTGCTCTCTTCCCTTTCTGGGAGGCGCTTGGTAGCCGGCGCCAGACGGATGAGGCCTGATCACATGTGTGCGTCTCCTGAGCCTTGCTGGGTGCATTTCCCGAGCCTTGGCTGCGGGGACGTGTGGCAGGTTGTTGGGCAGCAGGTCTTCCGGCACCTCGTGAGTGAGTGTCCTTCCTGGTCTCAGCCAGGAGTTGCTCTTTGCCAGGAAAGGAGAAGCCAGCTCGGCCCCGTCGCTCTGCAACTGGGGTGTTTGCTCCAAATCCTTGTGTCTCACTGGGGCTTCTCTGCTCACAGAGTCTGTGTGGACAGCTTCTCCTCTCCATGGGGAGATGTCGGGTCTACAGCCGTGGGGCTTTGCTCCTGTTTAGCTTCACCCCTCGGGCTCATCCGCACAGGGAAGTGATTGGGATTAAATGATGGAAGCAGAAGTCCTGGTTAGCACCTGGGTGGCTGCTTGAATCTGGAACGAGTGCAGAATGAGCACGTCCACACAGGGAGTTAGTTATCCGGGCAGGGGTGCCCTGTATAGTCACCCCTGCAGCTTCCAAGGGGCAGCAAGTGCTCACCCCTCTCTCTTCCTCCCGGCCAGGGTGATAAACTCAGGGAAGAGCCAGCACAACGAGGACCAGGCCTGCTGCGAGGTGGTGTTCGTGCAGCGGAGGCCCAGCCAGAGGCGAAACCCAGCCACGGGAGAGCCAGAGTGGGTGAGCTGTGTGACCTCCCTGCCCCATGGATGGAGGGGCAGCAGGCAGGCTGGACCCCCTCCGGAGGGGCAGCAGCAAAGAGCGGAGCAGGGAGACCGGCTGTCTCGGTCGCTCCGGGGCTGTGCCGGCTGTAGGGTCATACCCCTCACCTGTGTGCCTCCTGCTTTGCCCCTCTCTGTCCCCACAGGGCAGGAAGAGCCTGTACTTCCACTACTGGGGGCTGTTTGATGGACATGCGGGCAGCGGTGCCGCCATCATGGCCTCCAAGCTGCTTCACCGGCACGTGTGCGAGCAGCTCCGGGACCTGGTGGACATCCTGCAGGACCCGGCGCCTGCCCCCATCTGCCTGCAGAGCGATGCCAGGGGGCCGGCCGAGGCTAGCCGGGCCCCCTTGGCGGAGGAGGATGCGGAGCCCCTCAACGACGCCTTGCCCCGCTTCCACCTGGAGAAGGCGGTCTCCCACGAGAGCCTGGTGATCGGTGCCATCGAGAACGCCTTCAAGCAGATGGTGAGCGAGCAGGGGCAGCCTCGGGGGAGGAGGAAGAGCCGGAGCTGCTGGCAGCAGTGGAGAGATGATGGTGGTGATGGTGGGAGAAGGGAGGGCTCCTCTGTTCTTCCCCGTGCCCCAGCAAGCAGCTCCCCTGCAGCTCCTGCAACCCCCGGCCACCACTGCAGCCACCCCTGCTTCCCAGGCCCATGCTCCTGTCCCCCCACAACACCCCGCTTGCTGCCGGAGCCCCAGAAAGCCGCACCGCCAGCGAGCGGGGTGCCAGGTGCAGGCTGGCAAGCACCCCGGAGGAGGCCGGGGGATGTGCCCGGGCCGAGCTGACCGGCTGCTTTCCATCTGGAATGTGCCCTCCCTTCCTTTAGCAGCCAAGATGCTGACGGGGCAGCGCAGGACTATTTTGGGCTGGTTGGGTATTTGCTTGGCTCACTGCAGCCTCTCTGGGCTGTGCTCGGGACTCTGCCCCTGCCCCTCCACCATGCTGCATGGCTGACACCGCGGATGCACTGTCCAAGGAAAGGCGGGGGTCCACCTGTGTGGAGCCCAGGACCCTGGCGGGGCTGCACTAGCAGAGGTACCAGCCTGGTGGACAAAGCTGCAGCCCAGGGAGAAGGGGAGAGTCCGCCGCTAATCCTCTTGCTGCAGATCCTGGCAGACCAGGGGCTTGTGGCCTGGGGGAAGAAGGTCTGGCATGCTAGCGCTCGGGGTGCAGGAAGGGGCCGTGCGCTGGGAGCGAGGGCTCCGGGTCCAGGTGGCCATTTCGAGCCGTGCCGTGTCTTCCCCCAGGACGACCAGATTGAGCGGGAGCGGGCGACGCGGCACGTGTCCGGCGGCTGCTGTGCCCTGGTGGCCGTTTACTTGCTGGGGAAGTTCTACGTGGCGAACGCGGGGGACAGCAGGTACGGGGCGCGGGGCAGGGCCAGCTCCTTCCCTGCATCGGTCCGTCCCAGTCCCTGCAGGAAGGCAGCGCTCCGGCTGCAAGATGACCTTGCTGCAGGCATGTGACTGCCGGGGACGCTGTCTCTGCCGGAGCCCAGGACAGTGTGCAGTGCGGGAGCTGCCTTCACCTAAATGCAGATGTCAGGTGCAGGCTCAGGCCGCTCTATGCCATTTCAGCCCCTCCGCCTGCAGGGATCTTTTGCATCTCGGGATTTGAGTCCTTAATCGTTGCTCAGCACAATGCCAGACCGGGAAGCAGCGGGCAGTTCCCCGAGACCCTGTCGCAGCGAGGGTTTCTTGCCCTTTCTCCAGAACAGGCCTTGCAGCTGCATGCTCTGAATTGCACCCCGGGCCCGGCTGGCGCTCTGCAAAGGTCACCTTGGGGGAGCTATGCGGGGGTGCTGAGCAGCCTGTGTCCCTGCCCCAGGCTGGGCGGGCATGCACACTGTGCAGGGCTTAGCCCTTCCCGGGAGGGCTCTGATGCAACACAAACCTGGCACGGCAGGAAACCTCAGACAGGCAAGTGTAGGGCCAAGCCTGGCTCTCCAGGGCACCCCATAGCTGAGCCTGGATCCTGGCGACAGGCTGTGGCACTTGGGCACTTTTAAAGATTTCCCCCTCACAAACACTGCCCCTGGCACGCGGGTGCTGTTGCTTGAGGTGCATGCAGGACCTTTCCTTGCCTGCTAGAAGATGGGGGCTGTGGGGAAGGAGAGGTTTGCTGAGACTGCGGCTGAGCCCTGGCTAGGAAAAGCAGAGATGCTGGGGCAGGGTGCTGGCCCCATGGTCAGAGGCAAAGGTCCCTGGTGCAAAGCCTTGTCCTCTGCTGTGGTGGTGCTGAGCACTGGAAGCCCCATGCCAGGCAGAGGAAGTGTCTTCCGTCACTGGCCCCGGTTGCTGCTATCGGCTTGGTCTCCTAACAGTCCCCATCGGCCTCCCTGTGCTCACAGGAGCTCCTTCCCAGGCTCTCCACTACAGTCCCATCTCAGTCACTGTGTAAGCACAGGGGGTGAGACCCCATCGACCCGCAGAGGCTGCAGCTTGCAGTGACCCTGTAAGAAAATTCCCCTTGGGGCTCCCGGGTTATCATGCTGACAACTGCGCCCAGTATTGCAAATCCACCTGTGTGCCCCTGCCAGGGAGCTCTGCAGGGATCTGCGTATCCACCTCCCACGACCTTAGCACCGTTCCCCTCCACGTAGCTCCTTGCACTTCTTTCTCCCTCTCCGTTGTCATTGCCCTCGCTCAGCTCCTCTCTGCTCAGAAAGGTGCTGCTGGGCCCGGCCGCAGGCTCCATCCATCCCCTCTCCCGGGACGGGCGGCAGGACAATGAGCTGCCTGTAGCCGGGAAGCGGTCCGGAGCTGGGCTGGAAGGTGGAGAGCAGCCGAGGCAGCGAGCTGGGTCCCCCGGGTGGTACTGCTCCTCCGTGCCGCGCCTCCGCTGTCTAACCTCCTCATTCCATGTGTCATTGCAGGGCCATTATCATCCGTAACGGGGAAATCATTCCAATGTCCCGGGAGTTTACTCCAGAGACAGAGAGGCAGAGGCTGCAGTTTTTAGTAAGAAAGACCTTTCTTCTCATCTGGTTCGCTCTAAAGACCCCCCCAGTCCTGTGCCGCCTGGACCTGTGCCCCTGTGAAGGGGTTGGGGAGCTCAGGAGGGATCCGCGTTGTAATGATGCATTCTTGGGGCAAAGCAGTGGTGCTCTCCTGTTGCTCCAGGTTTGCAGATAGGTGCAGCTGGAGGGGACAGGGCATGCGTCCCGGTGCCACACCTGCTGCCCCAGGGGCTAGACCGTGGGGCATGGCTTGGTGCCCTTCTGGCCTCATGCCGAGGGGACGGGGGGAGGGGGATACAAGGCCTTCCCTCCCTTGGAGACTCAAGTTCCAGTCCAGACCGTGGTGTACAGCAGCCTCAGACCTGGCAGGGGTGAACCCCCTCCTCGTGTGATGCCGTGGGGTTGCTAGTTTAGCTTGGCGTACCAACATCCCTTCCCTCTGCCCATTGCGGCCAGTTTTGAGTCCCTTGTCACCTCTGGGAGGAGCTCACTGTGGGGCTCTGGCCCCGGGCAGCCTTTCTGCGGAGCCTGGAGGTGTCTCCGTGCCGCAAGCTGAAACTGCATACAGTTGCAGAGAGCGCGCCCCCACGCAGCCGGGAGAGGGAGCAGGCGAGGCGGGTGAGACGAGGTCTGGCTGGGCGCGTTTCCCGGTGCCGGCTGGGCCTTGGAAGAGCACCAAGGCGCTTTGTCTCCTCGCTGCTGCCTTCCAGCAGCCCCAGAAGGAAGCCGCATGGGGACGGATCCTCTCCAGCCGGCTCTGGCAGGAAGGACAGATCTGTGCTGGCCCTTCTGGCCCAGACGAGTCCATGTCGGCCAGGGGCTGGGTGGGGTGGGTTGGTAACGATGGTGCCATGCTCTGCCTGTGGCTCCAGCCCGCTGGAGCGTGGCAAGCTCCATGGCAGCGATGGTTCCCGTATCCGCTCCTGCTCCCCTCCCGGCAGGCCTGTCTGTCCCTTGGCACTGCATCCATCCATCTCCTTTTCCCTCTTCCTCCATCCGCTTCCTCTGACATGTATTCCCCACCGCACCCCTCTTGCTGCATGGCGGGGGTCCCCCATCCCAGGATGTTGGCGGGGTGTTGCCGATGCTCTTCCGTGGGGTCTGGAGGGAGCTGGCTGGGAAGGTCCCCAGGGTGGCTGACCTGGCGGCTCCTTGCCTCGGGGCAAGCCTCTGGGTCTGGGGCAGTGCATCTCAATGCGGGGGAGAGGGGGGATCTGGGATCCAGCCAGGCCTGATGGCTTGGAGGGGCTGTGGCATCAGGAAGGCATTCAGCTCCCTGGGAGGAGCCTTTCCTTGCAGGGGGTGGGATGAAGAGCTCAAGGAAATGCTCCCTGAGCTGGGGCATGTGGGGGCTGTGAGCTCCTGCTGCAATGGGTCAAAGAGGCCCCCTCCTCCCTGGCTTCCCCCAAGTCTCCAGTGCAGGGCTGCAGCGCCTCTTCCCCTTCCCGCCCATGCCTGACGCCCCTGCCCATCCAGGTGGGCTTGCACACGTAGCTGCCGGGATCTCACACGGGACAGGGGTATCCCTAAAGGCCCCTGCAGAAGCGCTCCTGCAACACGAGCCTGCAGCCTCTCGGACTGGGCTATTTCTTGCTGTCGTGGCCGAGAGCAAACCCATCGTAGCAGCTTTCCTTGCAGGGCCTGGCTCTTTTGCCATGAGGCACAACTGGGGGACCCCGGGCAGGCCCCCAAACCACAGCCCTCTCCCCAGAAGGCTGTTGGGAGCCCCTGGTGCCCAGCCAGTGCGTGGGGACCCACGACTGAAACCCGCCATGGGGTGCAGGGAGCGCAAGAGGATTCAGCCCACACAGAGCCCAGACGCCCGCTGCTAGCCCCTGCCCCTGTCAGATGGCATCCTGCATCCCCTTCTTCCTGGCAACCCCAGCTCGCTGCCGGGGAGCCAGGCCGTGCGTCTTGCTTGCCTTCCTGGGGATTCTGGCTGCTTTTACAGCTGCGGCTGCTGTTGTCTCCCCTCAGGGGTTTCTGAGACCCGAATTGCTGGGAAACGAGTTCACGCACCTCGAGTTCCCCCGGAGGATCCAGCACAAGGAGCTGGGGAAGAAGATGCTGTACCGTGACCAAAGCATGAACGGCTGGTAACTCCTGCTGCACTGCCGGGGTCGGGGTCACCCCCAGCACTGCGTCCTGGCTGGGGGAGGCCGGGCGCTCTGGTCCCAGCATGGCCAGGGAATCCGCCCCTTCCCTGTAATGTGCCACCTCCCTGCTTACCTCCACCAGGGCCTACAAGAAGATAGAGGAGGATGACCTCAAGTTCCCACTCATCTATGGAGAAGGCAAAAAGGTGCCGTGCTGAGGAACGAGCCGTGTGCGGCGAGGCGGCCAGGGGCTGAGGGCACAAACCCCGTCATGGGCGGGGGAGCCTCTCGTGCATGGGACTGGGGTTTCTGCTCCAGCCCAGAGGCTCAAAACTTTGCACCCCCAGGCTCCACGAGGGGGGATGTGATGTTGGCTTTGCTCCCTTGCCAGGCGCGGGTCATGGCCACCATTGGGGTGACACGGGGCTTGGGAGACCACGACCTGAAGGTGTACAGCTCCAACATCCACATCAAACCCTTCCTGTCCTGCTACCCCGAGGTGAGTCGGGCTGGCTGGCTCTGTGTGCCACGCGTCTCTTGGGCGGCTGGGCTGGGCTGGGTCACCTGCGAGCGCCCAAAGCCAGTGGCACCTAGCAGCAGCCACGGGGAACCTCGGGCTGTGGCAGGGGCGGGGGGCCCCGG